TTCATAAACAACCTAATTTAGTGCAAAAGGTAATATCAGTTAGAACCAGAAATTTCTTAAATCACTTTGAGTTAAGTGTTATTTTATATTAAAGTATGTAGATTAATACGTAATTACAAAACGTTGATTTGCAAACATTTTATTAAAATTAAAAACAGAAAGTGTAATGAATTTGAAGCATAAAAACTAAAAGATAATTTAAAATTTTAATTAAAGTTTGATCGGTAACCCTGTAGAAAAATTCTCTTCCTTCCTAGTTTTAATTTTTTATCTCGAAATCTATATATAGAGAAGAAACCAATTAAAATATTCGATTTATTCCCTGAATTGGTTTCATTGTATATTGCCAAATGAATCTTTATAATTGGGTTTTATATAAATGATAAAATTTGAGCCCCCCCTACCCCCCCCCCCCCTCCCTCTGTGGAAAATATTATCATCAGCCTAAGCTAATGATTTTCATAATATTGTTCATGGACTAAATTACCAAAGTTGCAATCAGAAAAATTGTTTACCTTCTTTGGATCTTAATAATACAGGTATGTTTAAAAAATTTTGGCAAAGGAATTGAGTTTTTGCCCCAAACTCAATTATTATAATACTATATTCTTGCAAGCGGATGGTTTGATATTTCAAATTTAAACTAATTGATCTAACAAAATTTACAGTTTGAAATGTGAAAGGTTAACAAAGATATAGCGATAATAGAAAAAACTCAATTCCTTTCACTATATTCGTCAATTTTGGTAGACAAATGTTGGTTAAATTCTCATTATATTCTTACGTTTATTAATTTTGAAGGTGCAAAATGGTAAACCACATTTTGTAAATCCCAAGACTGGAAGTTTTTCGGGTTAATTGTTTTAACTGGGATTGGGATACTACTAAAATTGTGTTTACAGAATAATGCCGCGTAAAACAAAGGCAACATAAGAGTCGTCACTTAATTCCCATGTTTATTGGGACAATCTGTATGTATTCACACATCCTAACTCTTGTTTATTGATACCTCCTGTAGGAAGGTCGTTGGTTCCAACTAAAAATAGATTTGTATATTTACATCATTATATAAACTACAGGGGTTTAATTCAAAATTATATTCACTCCCCATGAGGCGGCTCAACATCTTGCAACAAAACATAAAAATATTTGCAAATATAATAAAATAAAGAGTTTGAAATCTAACCTTTTTAGAGATTGCATAAAGGGGATAAAGGGATGATGAATCATAATAATAAGATCATGATTTAGTAGATTTTACTTTTATTTCAATCTGATATTTCTTTACATGAGGAGGGGGGGGTATAGATAGATAGATAGATAGATAGATAGATAGATAGATAGATAGATGATACATAGATGATACATAGATGATACATAGATACATAGATTGATAACTTGAGAAAATAAAATAACAGAATAAATCAAATCTAAGAACAAATCAAAAAAATTCATCTGACGGCAAGATGAGAAAAAAATACCAGAAGAACAGAGGAGCAAACGGCAAATTAACTTGGAGATTCTAGTTTTTTAAAGTCATCTCCTAACATTGCAAGCCTAATACTGAATGCAAACACTGAACTAAAAAAAGCAGCAAAATGGTTTCAAGCAAATCGTTTGTCACTAAATGTCTCCAAAACAAAGTAAATAGTATTTAGAAATAGAAATATGCACTTTGACCCCAACAGTTGTAATTTATCAATAGGAAATGAGATACTTGAAAGGATTGGTAATGACTGTGTGAACAAATATTCCAAATTTGTTGGACTTAAACTTGACGAATTTTTAAACTGGGATTTTCAAATTGAACATATCTAGAATAAAATTGCTAGCTCAATCTTTGCTTTGTCTCAAATTAAGAATATCTTACCATTAAACATTCGTCTACTTGTTTATAACTCTCTTGTAAGGCCTTATATTGAATATGGATTTGTTACTTGGGGAGGGGTTAAAAACTCTAAACTGCAAAAAATCAGATCTTTACAAAAAAGGCAGTCAGAGCGGTTAGTTATAGTACTTTCAAGGCACATTCAAATCCATTATTTTCAAAACTGAAAGTTCTTAATCTTGATGATGCATACAAACTTTGTGTTCTGACATTAGCATGGATACTTTAATGATAACCTTCCCTCTTCCTTCCAAAATATGTTTAAGTCTTTAGCTGAACTGAATAGAACAAAATCATATGAATTAGAACGGGTTTTAGACAAAAATTTAGAAAGCTTTTCGTCCGCAATGTTTCCTAAAATGTGGAATGCAATTGAAATGACCTTAAAGAAACTAAATCTGCAAAAATATTTAAACATAGAGTAATCAATATTTATCTTGAGAATTATGAGAGGTTTACATGCGAAAAACCTAGCTGTATATCGTGTGAATAAATTTATATAAAAAAACTAAAATAACTGAAATTAATAGCTTATTTCTGTTTCTGTAACTACCATCATTAACACCCTGTATTTTAATTTATCTCTACATTAATCCCTCTGATCTCAACCTGCCACAGATCACCTGACAATCTCCTTCCTTCCAATCAACTCCTTACCTATCCAAAAACATATCTTGATATGTGTAACCAATTATATTCAGTATCGTTAATTAACTTCGGGCCAACCACACAAAACAACCAACTTTGATTAGGCGGGTCCAAACTGCAAAGTAAATTGTGACTGCTTATTTGTAATATCTTATGCTTTGTAGGTGAATAAATATATGAATGAATGAATGAATCAATGAACTTAAACAGATACATGAATATAATATCCCGACGAATAACCCTGTAAGCATGAATAGTAAATACAAACAGATACATGAATATAATATCCCGACTAATAACCCTGTAAGCATGAATAGTAAATTTAAACAGATACATGAATATAATATCCCGACGAATAACCCTGTAAGCATGAATAGTAAATACAAACAGATACATGAATATAATATCCCGACGAATAACCCTGTAAGCATGAATAGTAAATGCCTATTAAGAAGAGGTATTAAGCTGTCAAGTGAGAATGTAACTATATATATATATTTATTTACTTTATATACTTATAATATACATTACAATACATACTTTTTGTTCAAGGCAATTTACCTTTTATATAAAACTAGACTTTCAGTTGTCTGATTTCATCATATTTATTCGTGGATTTTAAAAATTTGACGAAAATAAAAAAAATTTTGGAGACAAGTTTTTGAAATTCTGAGCATTCATAAAACAATACATCCCCTGGGTCATGTAAGGTCACACAATAAATTTCGGCCGGATCGGTTCGGCCGTTTTTACGTTGATTGGATACAAACAAACAGACAGACAAGCAAAGTATTTATATAGATATTAATAAGATCACATATTTTAAAGTACTATCCTGGGACCGGATTTTATGAATTTGAGCCAGGTCTAGAGACGGTTCAACCACATGTTTGGGCCAGGTCTAGAGACGGTTCAACCACATGTTTGGGCCAGGTCTAGAGATGGTTCAACCATGTATTTGAGCTAGGTCTAGAGACGGTTCAACCATGTATTTGGGACAAGTCTAGAGACGGTTCAACCACCTATTTGGGCCAGGTCTAGAGACGGTTCAACCATGTATTTGAGCCAGGTCTAGAGATGATTCAACCACCTATTTGGGCCAGATCTAGAGGCGGTTTACCACTTATTTGGGCCAGGTCTAGAGATGATTCAACCACATGTTTGGGCCAGGTCTAGAGTCGGTTCAACCACATGTTTGGGCCAGGTCTAGAGACGGTTCAACCACATGTTTGGGCCAGGTCTAGAGATGGTTCAACCATGTATTTGAGCTAGGTCTAGAGACGGTTCAACCATGTATTTGAGTCAGGTCTAGAGACGGTTCAACCACATGTTTGGGCCAGGTTTAGAGACGGTTCAAACACGTATGTTGGCCAGGTCTAGAGACGGTTCAACAACATATTTGGGTCAGGTCTAGAGACGATTTAGCTACGCATTTTGAATCGACAATTCATACTTTGCCCTTGTGTTATTTATGATAAGTACACTGCTGAACTAAAGATAAGTAGTACAATCGACGGTAAGAAGTTCAGCGACCTAGATTAAATTCATTAAATTTGATCCCTGTAGAAAAACAATTTTGCTTCCCTTAATGAGATTGTATACTCTATTGGAAAATAAACTTTAAAACTCGATTGATAAATTCTCTCAAAATAATGTTTAAAATTTTTACGTAGATTTGACTCAAATATTTCATATATTTTTACAAAGATGTTTAATTTAAACTAGAAAAAAGGGAGAAAAATCAATAAAATATCCAAGAACAATAAAAACATGGATTTTCTTGTAAAAAAAGTATCTGACCCTCATGGAAATCTAAAGTAAATTGGTGTAATTTGTGCGAATTTTCAAATATGCAAAATAAATGTAAAGTTAATGATGAAATTAACACAAAAATGATCTTGTGAAATTTATAAAACCAATCAAAGTTCTAAAATTGAATATGTAAAACAAATGAAAAATTCATGAATATTTTATACATTTGTAAACATTGTTATTTTGCAAATGTATATTTACAGTCTGTCCTCACATATATATTATGTATTATATATTGTATTATAATGAGGTATTAAACTCTCTGTATTAGAATGAGGTATTAAACTCCTTGCATTAGAATGAGGTATCAAACTCCCTGTATTAGAATGAGGTATTACACTCTCTGTATTAAAATGAGGTATTAAACTACCTGTATTAGAATGAGGTATAAATTTCCCTTTATTAGAATGGGGTATTAAATTCCCTGTATTAGAATGAGGTATTAATTTCCCTTTATTAGAATGGGGTATTAAATTCCCTGTATTAGAATGAGGTATTAAACTCCCTGTATTAGAATGAGGTATTAAACTCTCTGTATTAGAATGAGGTGTTAATTTCCCTTTATTAGAATGGGGTATTAAATTCCCTGTATTAGAATGAGGTATTAAACTCCCTGAATCGTTGCGTAAAATCTGCTATGTTGTGTATAGTATTCTAGTTCTACAGTTGACGAGGAGCAGTCGGACAGTACAGACGGTAATATTCTTCTCTTTAGATTAGACCAATTCTGTAGGACGATATGTTCACTATACTATTCTTCACTGCTGCTGCTGCTGCTTCTGCTCAGGCTTCAGGAAGCATCTCTGGAGAGAGAGAGGGAAGCTGCGCTGCGGCTAGGAAATGTTGTGATGGTCAGAACACTGACTGTGCAGTCACCCATGATGTAAATTTTATGAGGTATAATTTTTTGTACTTTAAGAATAAAATTTTCTTTAAATCATATTTTTTTTAGTTCGAACCCTTGCTACTGTGATCATGGTTGCCTTGATATGGGAGATTGCTGTCCAGACTTTAAGCAATACTGTGGAGGTTCGTTAATTTTTTTATTCACTGCTTATTTATTTATTCATTCATCTTTTCATTGTTTATTGATTCGCTCATGAATGAGGTATTCATTCATTTTTTCATCGATAATTTATGCTAAAACATTTGAAATTCAATCATTTATTCATTGCTTATTCATTCCAAAACATTCCAATTCATTCATTTATTCATGGCTTATTTATTCAAAAAAACAATCGTATATTTATTCTTTTCTTGAAATGTATTTGGTCATTCTGCATTCATAAAAATAGACTTAAGTTTGAATTTATCAATTAAATGTGTATAATTTATAAGGTTCGTATTGGGGGGGGGGGGNAGACTAATTCATTAATTAAGATTTAAGCCATTGTTTATCGAATTGAATAAAACAAATTATTTGCTTATTAAAATCGATAGAAAAGGGGGGATAAACATAATTTTATGGTTCCCCGTGGAATTTTAAGAAAAAAATATTGAAAAAATCGTTTTATAGACTATATATCTGCAGCCCCAGGTTTTCTCAAAAAAGCCAATTTGGTCCAACCGTTTGGCCAGCTATAGCTATCAACTATTTATATTTATGAGCAAAGAGCTTGATTATATAGAAAAATAAATTAATTAATTTAATGAATATCTCATAATTAGTATTTTTTAGCTTCAAATTTCACAACGTCGCGCGTGCATAGAAATTGAAATTGAAAAAGATATACAGAAATTAGACAAAATAAATTATGAAGAAATAAATAAACAATTATTTACAAATAATGTTCAGATAATAATATTAATATTAGGTTTCTAACTTTAAATATTTAACTCATAAAGATATCTGTTCACTGTCTTACTATTTAGCTATTAACTATATAATTGTTTTACTATCAAGCTATCTAACTTTCGAACTAAATCTAATTTTTAAACAATATAACTATCTATGTATGATATATGTTTAACTTCTTGTCTATATCTAACATATCTAATTAGCTATTTACCCAACTACTAGTTTTTTTTACTAGCAATCTATCTTACTATCAAAATATTTATCTAACTAGCTATGCATCTAATTATCTAGATATCTATCTAACTATCTAAAGAAGTACTGAAATGAGGTATAAGCTGTAAAGGATTATATACAAGTTTACCCCTAAACCTTAAACCAAACCAAATCCACACCAAAGAGAATAATTATAAACTTAGAATACTTCAACTTTTTCTAATTGTTTCAATTCTGCATTTGCAAATTATTGGTCCTAAATGCAAATTGCATTAATTTAAAACAAGAAAACAGAAATATTCAAACAATGTTAAAAGTATGGTTTCTTTAATTCAAACATTAAATGTTTCATTAAGGCAAATCTGAAAGAAAAAAGGACAGCCTAGGACAGCCTGAGCTGGAAACTTTTAATGAACGGATTAAAATCAAGTCATTTTTAATCATGGGAGAAGATTAGCCGCTGTTTTTTGTCAAAGCCCTAAAGCTTTATTTGATACAATCAGTTTCTTTTCCGAGAGGAGAGATTGTAATTTAATTTAGAATTATTTCATTTATTTCAAAGTTTGCAGGAATTGAATATAATGAATTTAAGCTACTTTGCTGAACTACATTCTGCGGGTTTTTGAACCACCGATTCAAAATTAAAGATATAGGAAGGATTTGAATTGGTGATACAAATTTGAACCGGCGTTAAGTTTTGGTCCTGGATGAGGAGAATTGTTAAAATCATCTGAGGTCGCAAGAATTTATAAAAAAGAATGCATGCATGCTTTACCACACTTGACAATTAGTACCAGCTTAAATACTTTCACTATTCATTAATTATGACCTCAGTATTCGGTGCGTAGGACACAGGATTTGCTTCAATACTTTGTTCAATCCACCCCTCCCCCTCCCACCCCTCCTCCTCTCCGTTTCATAGGTAAAAATAGAAGTACTTTAGCTCCAGCTCCCCTACCTTTTAGCTGCTCCAGCTTCCATATCCTTCAGCTCCAGCTCTCCTATTCTTTAGCTCCAGCTCCCCTACCTTTTAGCTCCAGCTCAATTATCCTTTTATCTCCAGCTTCCCTTTCCTTTATCTCCATTCCCCCCTCCCTCTCCCTTGAATAGGTGAAAATAGAAGTTTTTTAGCTCCAGCTCCCCTATCCTTTGGCTCCAGCTTCCCTCCCCTTTATCTCCTTTCCCCCCCCCTCTCCCTTGAATAGGTGAAAATAAAAGTATTTTAGCTCCAGCTCCCCGAAGAATAAAGAATATAAATAGTTGAGAAAACTTAGATTAGAACATTCTTACTTCTGAAAACACCACTCAAAAAAATTGGTCAATCCTAGAACTACAGACAGGAGAGGCTGGGGGAAAGGAAAAAAACGGAAAAGGTCAAGAAAATTTCTTTTTTTAAAAAGGCAATAAAGAAGACTTAAGGAATTAAGGAAAGAAAGAAAAATAAGTTGTGACATCGTAGCTTCTCTAATACTGACCTTAAGCTCAAATGTGAGTAAGTAAACGTATTTGTTTACGTACGTATTAAAAATTAAAACATGTTTGTTCTTCTCAAGAGCTCTTCAATTCGAAGATTTATGATTGAAAACAGGTAATATATCAGTCTGACGTGCAATTTACTTTGATTTTACGTGAAAAGGGTAAACTGAATGGGGTTTAAAGTAACAAATTAAAAGAAGAAAAAAGGAATTTTTATTTAAACACAAAGAAAGCACAGACCAAAAAAAAAGAAATTGGAATAAGAAATTGGAACAAAAATCAGAATGAAAAAAAGAGGAAAGAAGAAAACCCCAAAAATGGTCCAAGAAGATGATATTAATGAAATGGAATGGTGGAAAAAGATATTTTGATTTCCCAGAAAATCTGAATATATTTGGAAATAGTTGAATAGTTTAGATCCGGCCGAGGGAAATATCAAAACTTTTTTCATTTCATCACTACATAGTAGACACTACACACAAACTTTTACATCTGCTACTTTGTACAACAACTTTATTATTAGTTGTTATAGTAATATTGATAGTTTAGTAGTAGCAGTATCAGTATTAGAAGTAGCAGTATTAGTATTAGAAGTAGCAGTATAGCAGTATTAGTATTAGTCGTAGCAGTAATATATAGTTTAGTAGCATAGTTATAGTATAACAGGATTGATAGCTAGTTTAGTATACTATAGTAGTAGTAATAGTGTAATGATTGTAGCAGTATTAATAGTCTAAAAGTAGCAGTATTTCATTTTTCAGTGCGGACAATTAAGAAATCGTTAGAACTAATGAAAAGTGATTTACTGAAACTTGTTAAACTAAAATATAATAATTTGATAATTTAACACTTTTTACATTTATCAGATATAATAATTACAAATTATAGAATTGATATTGTTTAATATCATCAATTATATTTTTTTCCTCGTAATTGGATCCGCAGAGGTTCTATTTTGCAAGCTAATTTCATATTTATACCATCATTCTGATTAATCACCCCACGGTAAAATCATTGGAAAAGATTGTCAACGTAGTTTGAAGCGATCTCCAAACTGCAGAGTCGTGTGCATGTTGTTGCAATGTTTAAATATTTATGTGGGCATCAGTACCAGAGAACTATGGACATCGTCGTGCTTATTCCTTAAATCATATTTTATCCTGTCAATTTTCTTCTTTGTCACTAATTTCTTTCGCCACATTTGTATATATTTGATATTTCATACTAGTTTTGATTTTGTTTTTTAAGATAATATTTAGCTTACAACTTGTTTTGGAACATTCCTGGAAAATATGAAAATGTCGTCTTCATTACCAAAAATCCTCGAAACAGGAATAAATGTTTTTAAAAGTAACTCTCAGATCAGAACAATTAAAACATGTTATAAAAGATAATCGATGACAATAGGTTGTAATATCTGAATGATTTGTTTGAAATTAAATTGAATTTTTTAAGGTCTAAGTCGTATGCTGCAATTTTCTCAATTTGTATATGGACACCATGTTATTCGGTATGTCACGTCTTTATCAATTTTCTCCTTATAGACGCAACAGATAGAAGTAAAATTAGTAGCGATCAAAAGCGCTTTTTTATCGCATTAAGCCTAAACCCCCTTTCATTTTTCGCGAACACTCCCTTTAAGACATCGTCGTGCTTATTCCTTAAATCATATTTTATTCTGTCAATTTTCTTCTTTGTCTCTACTTCACTAATCCGAAAATTACTTTACTTTATTTAGAGAAATAAAATTGAAATTTATCAATTTTCAGATTTAAAAATAAAAATATCTTTTTCATTTTTGGCCCGACGACGGGAAAAGAGTCTCCATTAATACAATGTCTGAACAAGTAAAATTCAATAGTTATGTTTTAGTTTTAAAAACTGTTTTTTTTTCCATCTGTGGTTTCTCTGCAAAAAAACCTTCCTTATTATTGATTAGATTATGATTTTCAAGGGTATAGTTGTAAACATGTTAACAAGTATGAATTAAAGAAACAATCTGTAAAATTAAAAAGCAATGTTTTTGGCCGCGTCAGTACTTTTAAATAGAGAATTTACCGTGCTTCGTTATGTTTAGGCCACTGGAATAAAATAGGACAGAAACGTTAAACCCTTTTCTAGTTCCAGTTTTTGATACTACTTAATTTTAATCTTCCTCACAGAAACAATCTCAAGAACTGACAAGGGTCAACCCAGACCGAAATATATTTTCAATAAAATGTGGAGCTAACATCTACTTTTTTACTCTACAGAGGTTTGGTTCATCACCATCACCGAATTTTAAATCTAATTAGTTATGGTTCATGAAATTTAGCTTATTTTAGCAAGGAATAAAACTTGAAATAACATTTTCAGTTTGATCTGAATTTCAAATATCAAAATTACTTAACATTACTGAGTTTGCCCAAGGTCTTTTCTTATAAATAAAATTCAATAAAAATGAAGCTGACATGAAAACCATATTTACAAATTTACAACTATAATTTAGCTAATTATATTCTGAGGTAAAGATATACGGTAAAAAGGTGGGTAGGGGGGGGGTCCCTGTTGTGGGATGGGGGAATTCCTAGCGTATGGGGATAGATTTGGGACGGGGGTGGGGGATTCCGAGGGCTTAGAAATGAATGGGCAAGTCGTGTTAAAATGTGAGTGAATGTATTTAAATGTTGGGGTGCACAATTGCATTGAAAGTTCCAAATGACCTTCCATGAACAGGCAAGGAGATATTTAAACATAGCAATGTATAGTTGTATGAAGCAATCTATAAATAAGGAAAGTCCAGGAAGTGTAATTGAACATGAGAGTTATATGATGATTTTTGATATTTGAAAATCAATATCATTTAAGAAAGTTTAGATATTTTCAAATCCTTTTTTATTACGGTCTATTTTTTTTTTCTATAGACTATAGCTTGAGAACAGGACGTTGCCCAGGTTTATAATAATACTTAGTTACTCCCGCCGTTCACCCGTGCTTGCTATTAAATCATGATTTTAGCTGAAATGCCCAGTGATGCCCGTGGAGTTTCTAAAAAGAATTTGAGCCTTTGTTACCCCCGGGAACTCAAAGAGTTCCTTAACAAAAATTTTAGTCGATTTGGTCCAGCCGTTTGGCCAGCTATGAGCGAAGAGATTAATAATAGAATGATTTTTGAGGTCGTACTTTGTACCATCCATTTAGATGTGGGTAATGGGGGGGGGGGGCGCGATCCGAGTTTCAGGAAATTAACAAATTAAGAAGTTTAATTTGAAGTTTAATTGGATAATAGTTGATTAAATGTCGCACCCTGTACTTTAAACAAAATTAGCATTTTAAAAATATATCAGACTTACTATTGTATTTGTCTGTGCAAAAATGATTGAGTTATCCTTGCTGTTCTCTCTTAAAATTGACAATTTTCAATTTTGGTTTGACAATTTTGGTTTTCTATAAAACAGTGACAAGTGGATTTATACCAAAGTGATTAAATTATGAAAGAATCTCTTAAAGTTAGAAAAATGATGATATTCCTGAAAGTGTATCCAATATAGGACCCAATGGTATCGTTTTTTATTGGGCATTTAATGTTTTAAATTAAGGGTTACATGGAATTAAGTAGACATTCTCTTTAGTGTACATCATTATTATTTAAAAATGGTTTTCAATGTTTATATAATCTCTGATTGTAGTTCTTGACTGTGTGACGAGTGAGTGGGGAGAGTGGTCGGAGTGTGATACAGAGTGTGGAAAAGGAGTGTCAAGGAGAACAAGAGAAATCACTCATCCTTCATCGAACGGAGGTATAATTCACTCATCCTTCATCCAATGGAGGTATAATTTATTCATCATCCAACGGAGGTACTAAACATTCATCCTTCATCTAACGGAGGTATTATTAACGCATCCTTTATCCCACGCGGAGGTACTATTCATTTATTCTTTTTACAACGGAGGTAGAATTCACTCATAGTTCATCTAACGGAGGTATACTATGTGTAGATTATACTAAATTAACCCTATCCTCCTGTACTAGGTGTAGAATGTGATGCTCTAGAGCAAACCAGAGTTTGTAGATCAGAGCAAGGGTGCTCTCAGAGAACTAGAGATAAAATTTCTGCTCTGAGAGGTATTCATATTTTCAAATTTTTTATCTTTTCCTTCTTTTTTTAGATTTTTTTTAATTCATATATTTTTGTTAGCAAAGTTTGTTTATTTCAGTTTAAAAGTCGTTTTTCTATTCCAAAGTGTTATGGAATACACTTTGTTTGTTTAGAAACTGCAATGTTGTTGCCTGGTAAATACAGTTCTAAGAGGTCCAAGGACTGGGATGTCAGGCAGAATCTAAAAACATATGTTGAACCTGTAAACAAGGATGAGTAAGTTGTTTACACTTTTTACTGTATTGCAATACTTACAGTGTACTGCAGATTTTGGGAGGAATGTAAACAAAGCTCAACCAAAGGGGCAATGAGTTCGTTAATTTTCCAGCCAGATTCTGCTGTACATATTTTGCTAACTAAGAATTAAGATACGGGGGATATCTTGGTTCCACGTTGATTTCTAGCTTGGATTGACTTCCAAACATAAAATATAGAATAATGATTTTAAATATATCGCCACAATATCTGATTTATAAATCTGAGGGTGTGTACTGAACTGGGGTCTAGTATTTCGCTCAGTTTTCAATCTTTTTATTTCGCGATCTTGACATCATTCGGGGAAACAATGAGGTTTGTTTTTCAGAAATGGGTGGGGGGAGCCTAAGGAGTTAAAAATTATTTCAACTGAATAATTTGACAGATATCTAGCAGATTTCAACTGAATAATTTGACAGATATCTAGCAGATTTCAACTGAATAATTTGACAGATATGGGAGAACTAGAGGTGTCCTTGACCGATGTAAGTGCAGCCTATACTAAGAAATATATTTGGATAAAAACATGAATATTTTATGAGTCTCGTAAACTGAATACATATTAGGAAAACCATACTTGGGCAACCTAACATTAGCAAATATATATATAAGCTAGTACACACACATATATACAATATATATAGACATACGTATACAATACAGTAAACACCCTCCATGAATAAACCTTCCCCCTTCTAAATATACAGGGTGTACCACATAATATTAGATCGTCAATCGGTCTAAATTACGATTTTTGGGACTAATCAGAAAGTTTAAGAAAAATGAATCATTTTGAAAAATTGAATAAGGCAAATGTAAGAAATTTCTTGCGGAAAATGCTAGGTTTTTTTTTGAGTATTTTGGGTTTATTTTGGCGTTAAAACTTGGAGATAATCTAATAAGATATAGGACGCTCTGTACAGTAAACATTATAAAATAGAAATATTTATAAACGACTTCAGGGGTAGAACACTGTGAACCAAAGGATACAAGCTTACAATCAACCATCAATCGATGAGAATTTTGCCTAATGCTTCTTGAAAAGGTCAAGGAGTTCTGACACTTTTCAGTCAACTCAGTCTTTTAAAAGCTTATGCAACTGTTTAAAGCAATCTGGATTTATGTGAGACAACATCACGGACAGTTTTTTAAGTCGAACAATCGTTAGATGGCAATCATAGAACAAAAACTAAAATTTTTCATGTTTTGTGGGTCACTCTGTACTTCCACGGTAAATTCTTCCAGACCAATTTTCATGTACAGGGTGTCCTACGAAACAAGACAGAAGCAAGACGACTTGAAGGTCGTCTTTATATTTTAATAAAATTTGCTACATGTATTTGTTAACCTTATTTTTCAAGTAAAATTCTGGAGTTTAGAAACCCAAAATACCCTTATTTCTGCCATTTTAAAAATTTGGTCTGCATTTTTACTTTTTCAATATTACCCGAAATATTGACATCACAAAAAGAGCAGACCACATTTTGAAAAAACCAGGACTAGGAGAAATTTACGGTTATGTTGTTGTTATGAATCCGTACAAGTTAAAATTGGTTGACGACTGAAAGTTACAAATAAATTGAAGCTGAAAGACGACTTTCATGTCGTCCTTCTACGTCATGTTTCTCGGCACACCCTGTATCAAACATTAAGTTGTACTGTTCAAGCTGTACAATTAACCAGTACACAGTAGGATTCAAAATCACTTAAATGAATAATAAATCTCTTCACAAATAAGAGATTTGGGGGAAAATGGAGACTACCTTCCGCCATTCACTATATGTGTTTTAAAAAACCTGAAATATTCCATGGATTATCTGAACTGGAGTCAAAGGGTGCTTTAGCTCCGGGTATGTATTAACGAGCAATGTGTAGGCGCCATGATAATTGATAATTGGGTAATTGGTATTATAGAGAGGCGATGGGGGGGGGGGGGTATTTATTTATCGAAGAGAAATTTAAACCAATTACAGTAATTAAAATTCATGCCCCGGTAGATTCAACTTTCAAGTAAACATATGTGCCTTGGGTAATTCAATAAAAATGACCGATTAATGATATCAGATAGATTACTAGCAGATTTCAACTGAATAATTTGACAGATATCTAGCAGATTTCAACTGAATATTTTGACAGATATCTAGCAGATTTCAACTGTATAATTTGACAGATATCTAGCAGATTTCAACTGTATCATCAGACAGATATCTAGCAAATTTCAACTGAATAATTAGACAGATATTTAGCAAATTTCAACTGTATGTCGCAGATTACACATTGTTGTAAAATGTGCGCACATATTTTGTCCTGCAGACTCATGAACTGAACATTTTGATTCTTCTCAATAGCTTTACTTAAAGAGGAGTTCCGAGTTATGATGAAAAACATATAAGATTTTAATTTTACATGCAACTTACTTTAGTTATGGTGTAACCTTAGATATTTCGGTGTTACATATTTTCCTAAATGCATTTTCCCAAGGGCGACTTTTCAAGTGACAATATCCCAAGTGGCAACTTCCCAAAGGTTAGGTTAGGCCCTCTGAGGCGCCGCAGGCTACAATGGGGCCAAGCGCGGCGGCTAGGACGGACTTGGGAAGTCGCCGCTTGGGAAATTGCACATTTGAGATGTTACCACATGGGAAAATAATCTTGGGAAGTTGCCGCTTGGGAAAATGTCTTTGGGAAAGTACCTAATATCGATATTTCAAACTTTGGCTATTTCAAAGATCTGCGACATGAGATTACAAAAAACGAATAGAAATTAGAGGTAGAGGCAAGTGTTTAGTTCATTTTTAAAATTGATAAAATAATATCATTAAAAAGTATTTGTTTTAACGATTCTATTTTCATTTGTCAAATAATGGCTGATTATTTCGCGTCCCCTTATACTTTTAATAGTCTGTTTGTATATTGTACAACTTATACGTACTCTCATATTGATCAAGAAACATTTAAATAATTAAAATTTTCAAGGCTGGGTCGCCTTTATGATTTTACCTAACCTGCAGTTCACTTTAAATTGTTTGCAGCCCTTGACCACTCTAAACCCAACTTTTCTTTCGGTCAGAGTACTGAATATTACTGCAGTAACGCACCAAAAGCTTAGTTTGTATTCTTTACAACTAAAAAAACATTTGTTTAAAGTTTTGGTTTTAAAAAAGTAATTAGCAAAATGATCATAGACTTTTGTGAAAAAGAGCTTGAAACCTTCGGATCACTGTGCTCTAGTTGCCTAAAAATCGTCCTTGCACTTAAAAAGAACCGTTAAATGTTTATTTAAAAATACATGTTTTTTATCTAGGTACTGTGCTGTATTCAGAGTAGATAAAGCAATGAAAGCCTGTTTATTGACCCAAGAGACATTAGAACTACACAGAGGTATTTTCACATTTATACACTATACAGTGAAAACAAGAAAACTTTGGAATTGATGTCGTTTGTATTCTTCCTTTCCCTGAAAATTTAATATTGTTGCACCTGAACTATCTTCAGAATTGTTTAAAGAACTTTTTTGTAATATGTTAGTTGAAAATACCAAACCCTTAAAGCAACATTTAATATAAGAAAAATGAAAACTACGAGAATTTCATTGTTTAAAAAATGATCACATTCATTATTCACACTTAGCAAACATTGTTAAATCACAATTCACAGCAAGGTGAAGCAAACATATATATTTTCTACGGAAATTAAAATCGCAATTAATCCTGTCATGCAAAGTAAACTATAATACACTTATGTTTCACCATGTATTACACAATGTACCCCTTTTGAACGCAGCGATACCTTTAATCTTAAGGAAAATACATCCTATAGCGTTGTTTTAAAAAAAAGTTTTATTCAGTTTTTGGGAGAAATGCAAACAAAGACCGTTACCCTCAGGATGAGCTTTGTTTACAATCCTGTCAAAACCTGCAGTACACCTCCTTATTCATGATTGTATAATTGTACTGTTGAGGTAACGAAGTACACTTGTAGTACACCTCCTTGTTCATGATTGTCAATGTAAGAAGGATTCTTGCAGAAATGTAACTTTACTAACTTTAGTACTTCTTTACTACTTTTCCAGCTTTCACTTCCTCACACTTCCTTTTGTATCCTCTAAGATTTCCTGTCACTTCCTTTATACATCCTTTCATATTAGTTTCCTTCCCTTCACTTCCTTTTCACACTTCCTATCACTTCCTTATTGTATATCCCTTTACTTCCTTATCACCGCCTCACTTCCTTATCATACCCCTGCACTTCCTTGATTTTTTCATTCAATTCCTTACGTTCTTTTCTTAACTTACTTTATCCTCATTCTTCCTCATACTCCCCTGCACTTCCTTTTATCCTTTATTTCACTTCCTTATGTCTTCTCTTTACTTCCTTACCATATATCCCTTCACTTCCTTATTTCTTTCCTTTACACTTCCTTATTTCTTCCCTTTACTTCCTTATCATAAATCCCTTTATTTCCTTATTTCTTCCCTTTACTTCCTTATCATATATCCCTTTATTTTCTTATTTGTTCCCCTTACTTCTTAATAATCTTTCCCATTGATCCTTGTCACACTGCAACACTGCCAAACCTCTAAAGTATTTTATTTATTGTTAAAGCAGAAAGCTTTTATTTATAAATAAATTTAGTCGCTAAAATCCGCCCAGGCAATGCCGTCTATGTACTGTATTTCTTGTGTACATGTACCGGTTATGTACGTCACATGCATCACCATATTGTGTTGATGAAATATCAAATGTACAATATATTGTAGGATGAATATTTAAATGTCTTTAAACTGTAAAGTGTACATATAGTTTATCAATAAATTATTAATAGTTAATTTTTTCACTTGTCGATTTTCAATTGCGGTTTCAGCTGTAAAAGTAGCATCGACGGTGTAAGGTAGAAATCAATACTTTTTAAAGAAGTAACATTGACGATATCTTCCTCATTATTCCTCAGATAACTTATTAAAGAGTACCGTTGTGAATCAGACTTGAAACTCTAAAAAGGTTAAAAGGACGAGCGCACATTGTGTGCGCACTTACAGAGTTACATAAATAAACAAATACTTACATCGATGCTTTATATATAATAGGACATGTAATGCTATATAGGACCACACTGTAGCTCCTGTTATAATCCTACCTGGATTTCTAGGAGTCAACATAGAAGTATTCGGACTTACATTCTGTTTTTTGGTGTAGCTGGTTAATTTATTCCACTACAAACTAGTAAATATCACGATAGATTGAAACATAAATTCCTTTTATCGTTCAGCTATTGAGAAGAAAACACATGTTTTGAATTTCTAATATATACCAAATATATACCAAATATATAACAAATATATACCAAATATATACCAAATATATACCAAATATATACCAAATATTACCAGATATAAACTGCTCATAATAGATCTAATACCATGCTTGATCAGCTTAATAGTATTTTCCTTCCACACCCATGCAACTACAGTTTCATCAGAGTTTTGTTGTCAAGTGACTTTTCATAGAATGATGACAACAGTATATTAAAGCCTGTAAAATGATATAGAAGGTTTTGTAGTGTTTCCAGGTTTAAAATATTTTTTTTTCAAGAACTGAAATGCGCAAATTACTTTTGTAGAGAAACCACAATTAAAATAATCAGTTTTAAACATTGATCAGACAAAGCTTTTAAGGATACTGTTGTGAATCGGACATTTCCATCTTTGCATGGAGGATCACACGAAATTGCACTTAAACCCTTCTTAATTCTCATTTTCTGGAATTAAAAAGATTTGTCTAGTTGCACTGATGAGAAATTGGAAACCAGACTGATACACTTGTGTTAGGGTTAGTGCCTAGCTTCACCAACTTTATATATCAACCAACGAGGTTAAAGTATATAGAGTGATGTACGCTAATCCTTTACTAATTGTACAGGCCATGTACTCCACTTTAAAAGGTCAATCTGTACTTGGGGCAATTTCTGAAAATCATTTTTTTGTCACGTATGTTAAATTGGTCCTCTATTTATAAGAGTGGCATGATTAGGAACGGCACCCTCAAATGTTAAACACTAATTCTAATTCATTTTTCTTGACAGTAATTTTTAAGACCATAGGTGATCCAAATAAATAGAATATTATTATAAGACTTTAACACTACAATGCAAGCAAAATACTGAACTCTGGAAGGAAAGGAGAAGACAATAAAGCCTGGGACACGTATTTTGAATATGTATATATCGGGTTGGGAGAGGAAGTAATACGGGTAAAAAATCCCTTCCCCCTAGAAATTGATTCAGGGAATTTGGTCCTTTTTGTGTCAAACCCATGACCAGATGGGGGCGAAGGAATATGTGATACCAAGATTTGGTAACTGTTCAAAACTAACTAGATTATGCTAAATCTGATATTTTATCAAAAATATGATAAGTATTACGGATGAACTGATATTACTTATTACAAACTATTTTTACTAAAAATACTTTTATGTTCCACTTTTTTATTCAAATCAGATATTTTACTCAATTATAAATCATGTAATTTTATAAATAATGAAAATATAAAAATTATAATTGTTTGATGTGTTCCGTTTTACTAAAAGATTAAATAAGATAAATTATATCTTAATTAAGCACTAAAAGTATCCATGGGGCACATTTAACGGTCCGTGGATAAATGGGCATATAATCTTTTAACTTCCTTGTTAACTAGATAAATAGATACAAAAAATAGATAGATAGATAGATAGATAGACATTTAGATAGACAGATATATAGACAGATATATAGACAGATAAGCAGACAGATTGACAGATAGTTTAACAGATTGTTAGACGGATAGATAGATATATAGATAGATAGACAGATAGTCAGATGGATAAATAGATAGATAGACAGATAGATACACAGATAGATACACAGATAGATAGACAGATAAATAGACATATAGATAGAAAGATATATAGACAGATAGATAGACAGACAGACAGAGAGACAGACAGATAGAGAGATAGATAGATAGAAAGATACAACATTTTTTTATAACCATCTCAAGTTAATGGATAAAACAGGGATTACATGGATTATAGATGACAGATATTAATAAATGGATAGATACAGGGATTATATGGATTATAGATGACAGATATTAATAAATAGATAGATACAAAGATTATATGGATTATAGATGACAGATATTAATAAATAGATAGATACAAGGATTATATTGATTATAGATGACATATATTAATAAATAGATAGATACAGGGATTATATGGATTATAGATGACAGATATTAATAAATAGATAGATACAGGGATTATATTGATTATAGATGACAGATATTAATGTATTGATAGATACAAGGATTATATGGATTATAGATGACAGATATTAATAAATGGATAGATACAAGGATTATCTGGATTATAGATGACAGATATTGATAAATAGATACAGGGATTATATGGATTATAGATGACAGATATTAATAAATAGATAGATACAATTAGATTATATGGATTATAGATGACAGATATTAATAAATAGATAGATACAAGGATTATATGGGTTATAGATGACAGATATTAATAAATAGATAGATACAGGGATTATATGGATTATAGATAACAGATATTAATAAATAGATAGATACAGGAATTATATGGATTATAGATGACAGATATTATAAATAGATAGATACAAGGATTATATGGGTTATAGATGACAGATATTAATAAATAGATAGATACAGGGATTATATGGGTTATAGATAACAGATATTAATAAATAGATAGATACAGGAATTATATGGATTATAGATGACAGATATTGATAAATCGATAGATACAAGGATTATATGGGTTATAGATGACAGATATTTAATAAATAGAAATGGATTCTATGGATTATAGATGACAGATATTGATAAATCGATAGATTCAAGGATTATATGGGTTATAGATGACAGATATTAAAAAATAGATAGATACAAGGATTATATGGGTTATTGATGACAGATATTAATAAATAGATAGATACAGGGATTATATGGGTTATAGATAACAGATATTAATAAATAGATAGATACAGGGATTATATGGATTATAGAGGACAGATATTAATAAATAGATATGGATTATAGATGACAGATATTAATAAATATATATGGATTATATGGGTTATAGATGACAGATATTAATAAATAGATAGTAATTCATTGTAAGATATCAACAACGTACATGAAAAAACTTACAATAAAGACGACATTCAATCCGCTTCTTACAGGCTAGGACCTGGAAGAAAACGGCAATATATATTTTATAAAAAATCAATAATGTAAAAAATTTTAACCCATACTGATGATTATAATGAAATTTGTTAGTATAAAGATTTTGAACAATTTCCTTCACCTGTATTTAAAATCAAATAATTGTTTTAAATGATTTTCCCCATTCTTTTACAGGTATTAGATTTAGTTCGAGATACTTTTGATTTAAAGTGAAGAATATTACTTAAAAAAATAGATTAGATGTCATATACTGGCTAGGCGAGAGTTATAATACTGTAGTCAGGTTAACTACTACCATACATATCTGTACAATTAGATGTGATGTACTGGCTAGGTGTGGTTATAACACTGTAGTCAGGTTAACTACTGCCATACATCTGTACAATTAGATGCGATGTACTGGCTAGGTGAGAGTTATAATACTGTAGTCCGGTTAACTACTACCATATATATCTGTACAATTAGATGTGATGTACTGGCTAGGTGAGAGTTATAATACTGTAGTCAGGTTAACTACTACGATACATATCTGTACAATTAAATGTGATGTACTGGCTAGGTGTGGTTATAATACTGTAGTCAGGTTAACTACTACGATACATATCTGTACAATTAAATGTGATGTACTGGCTAGGTGTGGTTATAATACTGTAGTCAGGTTAACTACTACGATACATATCTG